CCCCCCGATCACGAATATGATACCTGTTTTGCGCGAAGAGCGCTGTGAGTTGCGCTACAGGTGCTAACGCTTTGGCGCTGGCGCGCCCGGAAGAAGAAAAGCAATAAAGAAAAACCTCACAACTCCGCTCAGAGAATCGTTCCGCAAATTTTAAAGATAGTCTTGTGTTCATCGTGGCAAGATGAGTACAATGATGTACATTTCGTTGCAAATGGCCGGGCTGACGTGTTGGCCTTTCCTGGTCAGCTTGTGCAAACACAGCAAAGATTAAATGGTCCGTAACTCCCTTCAGAGAATCGTTCCGCAAAATCGGAGGGCAGATTTGGATTCAGCGGCTCAAGACACGTCCATACGTATACATCTCATTGTAAATGGCCGGATCGACCTGTTGGGGTTCCCTTGTCAGTCAAGCAATCTCACCGGTGATGTTGATGTGATCTCGTTCCCGGCAAATACAGTTTCTACTTCCCTTGACGAGATGTTAAACTAGGAAGTCTTCCTCGGTCTCTGGGTAGCAGGTACTCCGTTTTGTACGCAAATATAAGATCCTTGATCAAAAATAGGTATGCTTTTCTTGCTTTGCTCAATTTTTATTCATTTGACATTGTCGCTCTTACTGAGACCTGGCTCAGCTCTAAAGATGACACATTAGCTCTCTTAGGTGGATGCTCCTTGCATTACGAAGCGGTGTGACCGAAAAAGGACGAGAGGCGGCGGTGTGGCCCTCCTCGTTTGTAAGCAACTTTATCCGAACCTAGTTTTTGAAGAGTCGGTACCCAAAAGTTATGAGCTTCTAGCTTGCGATTTGTCCGCCGGGGACAACACTTTTCGCATCCTTGTTGTCTATAGGGCCCCAAGTTGCTCCAATCAGTCGTCAGGGCAGCTATTTAAGGCCATTAGTGATATAATCTGTGGGATTTCAATTTTCCCGAAATTATTTGGTCCCAGGATATTAGTGCATCCAATATGGTATCGAAATCTTTCCTAGAATTGTGTTCCTCCCATACATTGGTTCAGTTTGTTAATAAGAGTACAAGAGGCAGTCACACTTTGGACCTCGTTTTGTGTAGTGAAGAATCATTAGTGAACAACATGAGAGTTAGTCCTCCTGTTGGCTCAAGTGATCATGCTTCTCTTAGGTTCCAGATCAACTTTATCAAGCCCCCTGTGCCGCTAGTAAGTAAACGCGCTTACAAGCAAGCTAATTATAATCAAATTAATTCCTACTTGAGCTCTGTTGATTGGTACGGGTCATTTAATACGGTCGACACTGTTGATGAGAAATATGAACTCTTTTTAGCAATTTTACACCATGCTGTTGAACTTTTTGTCCCACTTGTTAAGGCGCCGCCTCATAAGTCACACCTTCCCCGGTATCTTCGCTCTCTCTCCAAGAAGAAAAGCTGATGCTTGCCTATACACCGCGCTGACTGCTGGCCTGCGACAAAGAAGTTGAAGCTCGCTTGGAGAAATGGAGATGAAAAGTGTGCGAGGATGCGGTACGCATATCGCAGTGCGAAGTAGGACATACACAAGACATTCGGTATAACTCCCATAGCCGAGGAAATGCTCGAATCTCATCTCCGATAAAACGCTCATGTACTGCGTGCGAATCCTGAACTTTTCATCATTCAAGTACGTCCGACTGTTGATGAGAAATATGAACTCTTTTTAGCAATTTTACACCATGCTGTTGAACTTTTTGTCCCACTCGTTAAGGCGCCGCCTCATAAGTCACACCTTCCCCGGTATCTTCTCTCTCTCTCTCTCTCAAAGAAGAAAAGCTGATGCTTGCCTATACACCGCGCTGACTGCTGGCCTGCGACAAAGAAGTTGAAGCTCGCTTGGAGAAATGGAGATGAAAAGTTGCGCTGGATGGCTGGGTTCACGCGTATAGATCGCGTGCGAAGTGAGGACATACACAAGACATTCGGTATAACTCCCATAGCCGAGGAAATGCTCGAATCTCATCTCCGATAAAACGCTCATGTACTGCGTGCGAATCCTGACACTCGTCCGTGAGACTCTTGAACTCGAGGTGTTCCAAAAGCGGCCCAAGAGACGCCCCAGGCATTGGTGGGTAGACACCGACTTAAGGATAGTTCACACCTATCGCGACCACGCACGTTGGTAGGAAAGGAGTTAAAACGTAAGAGGAGCGGACCCCGCCACACTGCGGGCCAAACGCTGAAGCATTGTAAGGAAGTAGTTTGATTTCCGTTCCGCACACGCGATTAAGCAGGAACCACCCACACTTTTGTATCCCTCCTCCACCCACACACATACATACCCACACACCACCTGTCACAGCCACCAGCGTTTCTTTCGAGCGTATACCTTATTGTCTGCCTGTTTCAGCAATATATGAAGCGTCACAGGCTACGTGGCATTTTGAGGTTTTGGGGATGGTCCCTGTTACGAAACCCTTTACATCAGGCAGACAGAGGACAGCGCCTACCAAAGCATCGAGACGTGCACGCTATGGCGAGCCAGGAAACGAACTTTTTTCTCAGGGGGGGGGACTCCGAGGTGGGTGAGCCACTTATCGTGCGTGAAAAGCTGGAATGTGCAAGTCACAATGACCATAGAGTGCCACTCGGGCGAGAGAGCAGAGAAAAACACAGATTCGACGCGTTCGAAGAAATTGAGTTCAAAGGGGTAGTGTGTGCGCGCTCGTCGTGACTGGTTGATTTTGAATCAATGGACTCTCCCCCGCCCAAAATCTGCCCAAAAAAAGGAAAGGTACTATCTCCTAATAGCCACTAAGGCCTCAAACTCTCCGCTGATCAATCGCGACAGTATTCTACTGCTAGAAAAGATTCATGGCATTCTAGTCGACAAGGCTCCAGAGGTAATTCCGCTCCTGGAACAATTCGTAAGTTCACTACCTTTACTTTCACATGAAGTTGTTGAGGCTGATAAACGCCAAAGATCAATTGTCCTGTACGGCGTTCCTGAAGCCGAGAAGAGCCTTGCACCTTCTCGGCGTCAGGCGCATACGGAATCCTTTGTAAGCAGTGTACTTGATACCCTGGATATTGAAACCCGCCCTGTAGAGAATATACAGGATGGGTTCCATTAATCAGGGAAAGCCTAGGCTAGTTGAACTCACGATTGAATAACAAAAACTGATTGATGAGTCCTCCCGACTTTCTTCATATAGCAGTTCCATGGAAGAGATAGAGTGAGTGGATATTGTTCAATATACATTGACATAAGTGTGGAGATGAAATGTTACCGTACTCTCTTCGAAACTCTTTGCTGTGGCATTTTTCTGGTTTCTTTCCACATTACTTTCGGTTAACTGTTTCAAAAGAGGAGGAGAAATCCATTCTGCTAGTTCCTTTCGTTTCCTCACCATGATAGGTCTGCTAACACTTATAACGCAGTAAATGGAACAAACTCCGCCAAGCCCCTTGATGTGTCCCGAAAGTTGTAATTTCACAAAATGATATGAGCTTCATTATTTGTGGCTGTGGTAGCTTCACCAGAGTTTACTAGCCTCCACAAGGTGGCTTGTGGAAGCTCCTGTGAGTGTTTTTTTCAAAGCTTCACGAAAGTTTATAAATTTCAACGTCGTCGGAATGCTCCCTTCAGGCGATTCCGTTCCAAATTTTCTTTACTCAAAGAGCAACATTGGATGAAGGATTAGCTCACGAACTGTTTCCGATTCTCTGACTGCAGTTTACCGCCTAGACTGATTAGCACGGGCGAGAAAGTTTTCAACCCTCAGTAACTTATGAGGGTTGAAAACATACATACGTGTGGTGTAATTTGCTAGCATACGTGAGGTGTAATTTGCTTCATTTATGAAAATACCAAGCTGCGAAATAACATCAAGAACGCAGGGAGAAGTGGGCTCACCACTATCTGCCCCCAGTCCATTCCGATTACAATTCTTAAAAAAGGACGATGTCTTCCAAAGTGGATGGAGAAATTGGTACCTACAGTAGCAAATTTTGTAAGTTCTACACACTCCGCTCCGAAGGGGTGGGACTCCGGTTATCGCTGCCGACCAAATGATCTATCATAACTCAAGAAATTCAAAAAAATTTCGGTCTAAAGTTTGCCTATAGGGGTAATCGATGGTCCTGATCACGATTCTGACACTTATTTTTGACGTCGACGCAATTTGGCGTCAGAATAGCCCTAAGTCCCTAAATGAGTAAGCATAACGGCAGTGGGGAAAAGATTGGGCTCCAAATTGGCGATAAACGGCACCACAGCTAAAAAGTGCCACAGTCGTTCAATGCACTTAATAGCATAGAAAGATCAACTACCAGGAAAACTCTTGCTTAATGGTATGTGAAAATCGAAATTGTTGAATAGCACCGACTATGGGGTATAACTATTTAGAATGTGCCTATAAATGGTAGATATCCGAGTAAAATTCATAAACAGACATATATGGAAGCGAGAACAGCGAAACATAAAAAATGCAAAAACTCGCACGCCGAGGGGAGTCGAACCATCAACCTCCGCCCTCACCGTCCAGTTGAGAATCCTCCACGCTGTCCATTCGGCCATTCGATCGTTGTGGCTGTTCGTCGCTCCAAACGTTAAAGAAACCAGTTCTAGGAGCCGCTCACTCCATTACGTGCCGCAAGTAGGACTCCATTTGTGACCATTTTTCTCCTCGATCCAATAGTACCTTTATAAAGACCTCCACAGCAACTGGTCAAAGTTGCAAGTGATTTAGAGCTCACAGAGGCTCAAAAACAACCGGTTTCCATGGACTTCTTTTTCACTCCTTTTTGGCATTCCCAGAGGCGTTCAGGAAAAATGAACACCAGTTTGGTACTCCATGCACGTGGACCCACATCATGCAAAAAACCGTTCTCAAAACACGTCCTGAACGACCTGCCTGATTAGAGACAGTTCCCACGACCACGTATTACGAATGGTGAGTGTGCAATTATGAACCAGTAGCCGACAAGTGACTCTAACGTATAGATGGAAACAAAAAACCTTGAAAACACCTTGAACAGAACCCCTCGCTGGCAGGCACATAGCCTCCTTGTACGAGTAGCTGTTATGAGATGTAGTGCATATCGACACCCTGCGGCCTCTGTGCAACTGCTGGTCACAAATGGTTTCTTCTCATCTTTTGAGCATTATCACCTAATACTAGAAGAAAAAAAACAAAAACACTGGAACAGAAAATAGCTGACGAAAACTCTGTGCATAAAATTAGCATTGTGGTAAGCATTGCACGATGGAACCAATGCGATTGCATCGCTGCTGAATATAAGCAGCACCCAGACGCGTCTTATCTTGCAAAGTTGATTGCTATTGACTTGTTCTTCTCCAAGATATTTCAGGGAAAGCAGAACAACTAGCGAGCTCGCAAAAGAGTCGACAAGCCAAGATTTTCCCCGAGGAGCATATTAAAGGATTCAGGACAGAGATATGCCGGAAAATATTTTCCGAGCTTTTTGTAATATGATGCCTGCCCATGTCTCCAGTTAGAGGCTATCAGTCCCCCCCCTCCCAGAAGTCGTTATCCAACATCGTTAATAGGGAGCTTTTCATTTGCTAGTATGCAGACGCATAAGTAACGACTACAAAATTCGAAAAAGAAGTGGCGTGCAAGAGAAGTGGCCTACACTGCGCACCATTTGCTCTTCTGATGTGAGAGAAACAAGATCCTTTGCAGGAGGTAAAGAGTTCTTTGTTGGAAAGCCTAGACGGTAAAAGTGGAGAAAGATTCAGGATGCTGGTTTAGTGACTTCGAAGCTAACACGGTGTTCTTTGAAGACTTTCTGAGGTTGAGAGTGCGAAAAATGTAAAATTTCTGGCGGTTCGTATGCCAGAGGCCTTCACGGAGGGTTCACTGCCACTGCCATCCAAATGGTCAGGTCCACTACCACCAGGAAAACTCGAAAATTTTTTGCTGAAACCTCGTATACAGGGGTAATTAATGGCCCTGATCACGATTCTGACAATTATTTATGGTGCCGACGTGATCTGGGGCCAGCGTGGCGCTAAATGGCCACTGCGCGCGGATGGGAAGCTGCATAAACCACTAGAGAAACTGCAGTGTACCTCCCTGTATGCCAAGTAAAGCACCTAAATTTTGATCTTATTCTGCGTTGTTTTTCATGCCTAATTAAGAACACGTTATAAATTATACGTACTCAGCTCTACAGCTAAAACAGAGCCGAATAAAATGATCAAATAGCCTATTCTGCGCAACTTGTTTTTTTCTTTTTTGGCACTCCCAGTAGCGTTCAGCAAAATTGAGCCCGGTCCTTGCATGGAGCCTAACATCATGCAACAAACCGTTTTCGAAAAGCTCACCACGACCTGAACGACCTCCCTTATAAGATCGTTTAACAGATTTGGAAGTCAGATCTGATATCAGCGTCCGAAGACCGATAGCTAACCGGGGACGAGTAACTTATGTATTATCTCTGGAGCAGCTCGAGTGTGCGAAGAAGCTTTCAAGTTTGTATGAGAGCACCAGGAAGGAACACCGAACAATGCTTCGTGAAGGTCGCGCATATTGATGTTTTCTTTACATCAATCATGAAAACCTCGAAAGAGGGACTCCTTGGGCAATAACGCTATTTGGCACGTGCCCATATCTATCGGCCAACCTCTACACTGTGAAAACAACTTCTATGTCTTGACACCTTTCATTCGGTGAAGTTGTTTGATAGGTACTGCTGCTATTGTTATTCCTTAGAGATTTTGTCCTGTAGATGGTACTGGTACTGATTCTGCTAATTTGGATCTTATCGAAAGAAGCTGCTTAACTTTGCCAAAAACATAAGAGAAACATGCGCGTATCACTTCCAAAGTTTCACTTTTTTCATTGTCAACCGCAATGAGCACATGATAATTCAAAAACACGAAAAGAAATAGATATTGCGGAATTTCAGGAAAATTTGCATGCATTCGCCTACTTCCCAGCATGAACCACATCTCTTGAGTGTTCTTGTGTGTGAGATTTTCGGGCGACAGCTTCATCTATCAATCAGTTCTCAACACATATTTGCACCTTTCCTTTCTCTATTCTCATTATTCACTCATTCTCTCAAGGTATTGTCTTGCATGCTAAAAACAAATAGAGTAATTGCCAAACTGAAGTGAATAACTTGGTTAGATGCTAACCTCCTCTTTGGTACAGCGGGATAGATGTCAAAGTAGCCGGCGATTGGACGGCGCCGGGTGATGGTCGTGCTTTCGATGTTTCCCAATCGTACCAAATCTGTGACAGCAGCTGTATGAGCATTTACCGTTGCTGCTAAAATTGACATTTTTTGGGAACCTCTCGTTTTCCTGGGAGGTACAACGATGCTTGAACAGGTCTTGGCTCAACGATTGGCTTCACTAGCAGGGCATTCCCAACCATCCATTGTCGATCTTCATCATACGCTACCTGAAGAGCACCCGTTTGACAGAGTATCATATTACAGTGCGTCTAAAAATCAAGCCATATTAGATTAAAAATAGGGAGAAATGGGCGTGAAGACCTGTAGAGCTAAAGGCGCAATACCTTTGGACA